AGTGCACAAAACAATATTTGGATGCACTACAATAATGTTAGTTATTTAGCTTTTCATGGGATTAAAATAATTGGGTTCCTTTTTTCTTTTTTAAGTCTTATTTTCATCATATTAATTTATTTATAAATATCACAGTTTCTAGCTAAATATTTAGATACGAGACTAAATGTTTAGCTTCAAACTAGGTATTATACTTGGCTAATAAGCAGAAGTGGACTACAAACTAAAAGCTGGGCCTTGTGAGATTTTTCTAAACAAAATATTTACTTTCCATTTATTAAATATTCAATTTGGAACCAAATATTTGCCTTGCTAGCTAAATATTTAGCTCCAAATATTTAGCTAGCGATATTTGCTAGCTAAACATTTAGCACACTAAACCCCTAGTTAGAATATTTAGTTCCAAATATAGCTATGTTTGCTAGTTAAATATGTCTGCAGGTTTTTTTTTTTTCTTTCTATTTTACCGCTATTCAAAGTAGCAATTTTAATCCGTTTAACTCTGGGGAGTCCAAAGTGTGGTTCGGGGGCCGTTTGTGGCCCTTAAACTACTTTTGTGTGGCCCCAACTGCAATTCAAGTATTATGAAAATTTGGCCAACAGTTAATGTGGATGGAAGCTTTTTACTTGAATCAGAGTAAAATTAGTATCCATATATTTTCTTTATAACGATGTAGCATGTAAAACCATGTTTACTGTTGGTATAACTGATTTTCTTTTAATACACCGAATGTGCAAAATCCTTTTTAAACTTTGGATCTACAATGAATAAGATCCATTTCATACAAAAAAATAAATAAAAAAAAATCTACTTTATTTGCTTTATTTTAGTTTTTTTTTTTTTTTTACATTTTCTTGACCCACAAATATTTTTGATTGAATAATTTTGGACCAAAATTTGGACACCTACTTTCACTGTAACAATTTCACCCAGTTCTTATCCTGATGAAGCATTTCTGCAGTGAAAAAGGCTGAAAAAAGTCGATCTTTCTGTGAATTGCTTGTCGGATAAACCACGCGCTGAGGTCACAGCTGACCTCTTTACCCACTTAACATATAGATAGACCGAATGCTCCCTGTTTAAATTCAAAACCCCCATCTGTGGAATAACCACTGTTCTCCAACTGCAAATTAAACTACAAACTTTTCACTTCCTGCCACCACTCGACCGTGATTGTTGCTCTACAGTTTGCTCAGAGGATCCGTTCGAGTGTTGAGCTCCCGCCTCGTTTACAAAAACTTGACGTAAAATCTTGCCCTGAAGTCAAACAACTCAACAACAAGCGACGGATCGCATAAGTTCCAGCAGAATAAGTGCTGATGATCGGTGTTTACTGGAAGCATCGCAGCGAACACAAAATGTCAGCGGCTTCAAAAAAAAAAAATAAAAAAATAAAAAATCAAAGAACGGCCTGCAGCCGATTCCTCAAATCAAACAACTAATCCGATCAGAGAAATCCCTGCTAGGGTTTGAGCGCTTCATTATGAGAGATTCAGAAACACAGACGGGAAAAACAAGCCTTCCCTCTGCTGTTATGGAGATTAGCAGCATAAATAAAGGGAGTTACGTAAAATATTTACTCTGGATTATTTAAATAAACGTTAAAACTGGCTCAATGAAAATACAATCTAAAAATGTCCATCATTTATTTAACACTTTTGGCCAACAATGACAGTTTGAAGAAGAAAATCACCACTAACAAACCAATAAACAACCTCAATTTATTATTATTTAATGTATTATTTACTCATTTATGTCAATTTTTTTTGTGCAAAATAGCTCAAGTTCATTTAAATTCAACAGAGAAATGATGTTTTCTGTCACTCTCTCAAATGGTTTTGGGTTTGGACTTTGAGTAGGCCGTTGTCACACTTTAATATGCTTTATTCTAAACGTTAAACTGAAGGAGAATCTGTCTGGTTGATGTGTTACACTGCAAAAACTTAACATATCACCAAGTTTTTTTGATCTAGTTTCTACTGTAAATGTCTTAGTACACTTGAAATAAAACAAAACTAAATTAAAACTAAATATTTAACAAGATATGGGAACTTGTTTTAAATCAATAATTCCTTAATATTGATTTTTTTTTAAAGTTCTAATTCCACTATCAGATTATTTCACTTAAAAAATATATTTTCCCATGTTAGAAATGAATTAATCTACCAGTTCAATTAGCACTTTTTGATAGATATCAAATTTCTTTGATTTTGTAAAAGTGGTGAGGCTGGCTGACCTTTTGACCTTTAAACTTTTATTAATATCTTCAAAAGGAAAAGCAGCGCAAACAAAACATTTTGCGACACAAACGCAGCCGAGTTGACCGACACCAATTTTGTCTGATTTGAAGAAGCTAGGGGTGCTGGTTGACCTATAATGACCTCTGGAAACATTTCTTAATATCCAAAAATTTTGCTGCACAAACGTAGCGCAACGTTTGAAACCATTTTGTTAGATTTGAAGAAAGTGGGGGCCCACTTCACTCCTGGCCTCTACATAAATAACTTATTACTTCCTTTAACAATGGGCCTTTTAATTAATGCTTTAATCTGTTAGTTTAAGAGGAAGAAAATGTTTTGTTTTGTTTTGCTCTTAATTTTCAGACCGTTTGAACAGTCCCCCTTCAGATATTCACAGCTTGGACCATTGCTTCATTACTTAGCCCTGCTCTAAATGTCTCCACAGCTTTATTCCTGCTCTATTCCTCGGTTTTCATGATGCCATTTGCTCACTAATGTTATCCAACAAACCTCTGAGACAGCCACAGAACAGCGGGATTCATGCTGGGATTAAATCACACCCAGGTGGGCTCTATTTGCCCATTAGGTGAGGTTGTAATGTGGAAAGAGGGAAGGAATGGCTTTCTGAGGCACAGTGTTGCTTCCAAAGACCCAGATGGTGGTTAAACCTTCAGGAAGCAACAAGAACTATTGATTAAGAGTCCTTTAAAACATCACAATAAAGTCTGCCCACTTTCAAGAAAATGGCAAAATGTTGGAATATCACGCACATCTGTCACCTTACTTTATTTATTTAAAATTCACATTTTTTTTTATTTTTATACTTCCATTTGGGTCTCAGCTGTTTCTAAAAACAGCATAAGTGCTTAAAACAAACAAAACAAAAAACACCCAGCTGTTGTTTTTTTTTGGCAATAAGCTAAAGTTTTTTGGTGTCTGGAAAATGAACCACTTCAAAAACCTCCCAGATGTTGAGTCACAGTTGAAGGGCACAGCGCCGTTACCTAGCAATGCCAGGTAACGGGTGAGAGCTGAGCCCAGCACCATTACCTTAAAACCCAAGCTGATTTCCAGAGATGGTTTTATCACTCTATGCACTGTACAATGGCTGCTGGAAAAGACAAGTGTTTAGTTGTTGACTTACCATTCAGAAACTAATTGCTGCATTCTTGTTGATTGTACAGGAGCCTCAACATCTGCTTTTCAAAGATGTACGGTTGTATAGTTGGGCATCTGTTTGCAGATGAGACGGGAACACCTTGTCACTTTATTTGGATTTAAAGTGACAAGACACCCAAGAACAGTTGAAAGGACCTCAAAACTGACCAAACTAAATCCTCATTATCTAAGAATAATTTGCACAAAAAATTTAATGAACATGTTTTATCAAATAGATCTGTCCTAAATGGTTTTAGGAAGCATAATAGGTACCTTTACGCTATCCTTCAGTCAACAGTGCATCCCGTACTGATATGAAGGTTCTTCCAACCTCTCTGTATGGAGAGAGGTTGGAATTCCTCTATCCTCTATCACCCGTCTCCAACACACCAGCAAGGCAGACGTCTCTGTCGGAGGTTACAGACCCACGGCGCCATGTGATAAGCACGGTCGTTGCCGTGATCTTCCAATTCCCTTCCGGAAAGTGATTGCAAGGCTGCTCAATTATTCACACTGTTGAATAATGTCGTTCTCTGTCTTTATCCGAGCTGATCCTGACCTGCGATCCTTATCTGAAGGCTGAGTAATGGGGGAATCAATGGGAGGTGGCAGGATTTCAATTGTCCATCTCTGATGTTGTTTTTAGATGTGTAAGCTGAACAACGCTGCAGGTTAGGGTGAGAGTTAAGACGGGGTGAGACCTCAGTTAATCCATATATGGGGCAGGATGATTAAAACGTGCTGGACTCAAATTATTTTATTTTAGAATGGTTGTGTGAGAGGGATGCAACAATTTATTAACTTACAGTTAGTGGGTTATTAGTGTGACCGATTCAAGTTTTAACTCTGCGTTGTGTCTTTCTATTGGTGTATTAAGGAGAACAAGGGCCAGATCTGGTTTGACCATCTCTGATTTTGCCTGTTTGAGATATCAAAAAGAAACGGCAGTGAGCACTTCAAGGTCCAAAACACCCCAGTGCACGAAAATAAACCCCAAAATAAAGAAAAATTGACAAATCAAATAAACAACCAAAAAAATCTGCCACAACTGCGTGAAATCCAGCTAACATAACTCACAGTTACGTAACTTTAAAACAGGAACTAGCATTAGCTTAATGTACATTTCAATAAAATTTAATTTCGGCTCATGTAGACCATATAACACCACGGTAAAAGAAAAGACATATCCCTTAAAACACAATTACAAATATATAACTTATGAAATGTGAGTTAACCAAGAAAAGCGTTTACATCTCCACCGAGAGTGCAGCACTTCTTACCTCCTGCTAGCTCATCGCATGATACGCAGTCACGTATCAAGTTACGTGACTACGCTGCCTGAGGTGCGTTCAAGTGCAATAGGAAATGCTCACTGCTCCCTTCAAACAGGTATTTATAAAAAGGATTAACTAATTTACATAATAAATAATGGCTGATTTGGCAAGATTCGAAGTTTAATTTAAAGTGATATAATTAAACTGTTAACATTAGACTAAATTAGTTCTAGTCAATTAACTAAATTAATTAATTAGTAAAAAAAACTGGTCATCCTGAAGCGGGCCGTTGACACAGAAATTAAAGATGGCGACTTATACCAGAACGGCAAACAGAAACGGTGCAAACGGAGTCCGGTGTGGGATGGAAAATGCACTTTATGCGGTTCTGTTTTGAAATATAAACACTCAACAAACTCCTTAAGCTTCACTTAAATAGTGCTTCATTCAGCCGAGCTACATGACGGAGAATTGTGACATGATGGAAAAAAACAAACAACTTTGATCTTGAGGACTGTGGTGAGTTAATTCACTTTATGGAGTGACGTTTCAACTTTTCTTCAAGAGCAACTACAGACGGTACTTCTGTATGAACATCTCTGTTCATGGGGAATTAAGTGTTGGACATATTTTATGGTTTTCATCTTTTATGTTTGTATTCAGCAAAGAGATTCCTGTTTTGTTATTTTTTATAAACATGCTTAATAATGACAGTTTTCTGTTTATTTGGTCAGCTGACACTAAATAATATAAAAAATTAGTCATATGTATTAAACGTAAATTAAACATATAAAAAAATATCTCTATGTTATGGAAAGATAAATGGCCCTCAGAAAAAACTGTTTTTTAAGAAAAATATTGATCAATAAGAGCAATTAACTTTAGATTAACTTATCATAACTTGCACCCTACTGTGTTTTTCTTACTTTGCATTTTAACAAATATAGCAAAACCATTTCTTAACATTAACCATTTAAATTATTCCAGTTTTTCACCACTTCCATAATAAAATCTCACCAATATCAACTTAAGGTTAATTTATCCACATAATTTCAAGCTAAATTTACACTCAGCTGGAGATCAGGAAATGATATTCCTGGTGCTTTTCATTTTTTCTTTTTAAAACCCTGGTGAGGAGTCAACATGTCATCAGTTTAATTAAGGAGGGAAGATTTGTGACCAAAAGAACACATTTTGCTGTAATATTTGCAATCCTAGGTTGTTTATGTCAAGTCTGTGTTTAAATAATACTAATTTGATTGGATATGAATTGGTAATATTGGCATCTATGCAGTAAATAAGAACTGAAGTGTGTTTTCTTTACTAATTCACAATCAAAACCTTTCTAAATATTTAAGAAACTGAAGCCAAAAGTAGGGGGAACAAAGTTGGAATTAAATGTCTCGTCTAAATAAATAGTGAAAAGGGAATTTTGTGCAAAAACCACAATAGTGGTTGTGACATCCTTTTAAATGAAAGTAATCATGATCTGGGAAAGTCCCATTTTTTTAGTGCAGTGATGCTGAGTAACCATTAACAGGGGAAAACATTTCTGTGAGTGAAACCTTTCTCTGCACATTAAACATGAAGAGAATCTAATTTGACATTTGCAGAAATTCAGAAATTACCTTTCTTACGCTCAGCAACCGTGCGAATAATATAAATTATGCTGGTTAATCTTTAAATGTTTCCATTTTCTCTAATGACTCTTCCTTTGACAGAGAATATTTCTCAGAAAACTTAAACTTATGCCTCATCAAGCATGACCTGCTCTGAGATGAATTTCAACCCTGAATGGATCTCTTGGTGCCAAAAATGCCATTAAAGTCTGTTTGTGGGTAAAATGGAGGAAAGGCAGGACTATCTTTTTTCTTTTTTTTTTGTTTGGTTCTGTTCAGGTCGGTGCAGATTTTCCAGTCCCACCTTAGTGCGAACATTTAGCCCAACATGTAACTCATGGAACATGACTAATGATGGCACATTATGTAATCCTCATAAAGCTCGGATCTGTCACAGATTAGTAATGAGACCCGTCTGGGGGCATTGCCAGTACCAAAGAGCAGAATCTACTGAATCTAATGGATGCCAGCTCCAGACTTCTGGGAAGCCCTCAAGACTTCGATTGTTTTTGTCTCCGTAAATGCCCGTTCAGAATTGAATTATTTTTCTATGAGTCATGTCAGCCATCCGGGTGAGTTACTGTTTCCTGATTGCTGCCGTTCCCATGCACAACAGAGTTATTTACTGCAGCCGCAGTTTCATTAAACGTGTTTACATTTTAATTTTATCTGCAATTTAATCTGTTCGGGATGAGAAATGAAAACTGATTTCTGTGACAGACTTGTTGGAAAATATCTCACAGACAATTTATATTCTTAAGGGATAATCTGTTCAATTTTGATCCTGGTTGTGTGTGTAGCCGTGCATTCCTCCTGGCAGGATAATGATTTGTTTATGCGTGTCTGCACCCGTGGTGGGCTGACAGATTGGGAATGAGCTGTCTTTCATAAAACTAAGACATTGCTGTCTACTGTTGGCAGTTCCTCTAAACAAAACCCCAAAGGTAGTGTTGACACCTACCTGTGTTGCTATGTTTAAAGAGGACGTGATATACAAAATTCACATTTTGCACGTTTTGTACTTCCATTTGGGTTTCTGCTTCTAAAAACAGCACAAGCACCGTTTTGGCAGTAACTTAATGTTTTTTGTTATCTGGAAAATGAGCTGTTCTAAAAGCCACTTCCCGTTACCTAGCAACCCCAGCGAAGCCCAGCCCGTCACCTAGTAACCCAGCTGAATTCCAGGATGTTTGGTCAGGTGGTTTTGTGCAATGGCTGCTGGAAAAGACAAATGTTTCCTTGTTGACTTACCATCCAGAAACCACTTGCTGCTCTCTTGTTGGTTGTGCTGGAGGCTCCACATCTGCTTTTCAAAGTTATATGGTTGTATAATTGCCCATCTGTTTGCAGCCATTTTCATATGTTGTCATGATCCGTAGTTTTCTATGTTTTTGAGTTGATTCTGTGTTTATTGTTATCCTGTTCCCTGTGAGTCTCTGCAGCTTCCCCATTGATTGTTCCCAGGTGTGTCTCGTTCCCTTGATTACCCTCCCTGTGTATTTAAACCCACCTGCTGTCTTTGTCTCTTGTCGGGTCCTTGTCAAACGTTTGTCTACGTATGTCGCACGCTGTCTTTGCTCTCCAGTAGTACTGCTAAGTCCTGGTTTACGTTAGCTCTTGTTTCATGTCCTGTAAGTCAGTTGCTACCGGTAATTAGCTGCGTGCTTACTCTCTGCCGTGCCGCCTGTATTGGACTGTTGAGCTTCCGTCATTAAATATCACCATTTTCATCATAACCTGGGTCTCGGCATCTCTCCTTACCACCACCAACGACACCACATGACATATGTGAGTTTAAAGGTTTGGGGGTCGTGGCCAGCATCAGATTGTTTGGATTTAAAGTGACAGAGGCCCTAGAAGCAGCTCATTCTGAAAGGAGCTCAAATTAGGCATAACTGACCAGACTATCATTATCTAAGACTGATTCTGTGCACAAAAAAATGTAACGAACATGTTTTGTGTAACTCTCTCATTTTTGGTTGACAGCTTAATTACATTTATATTGTTAGTTACTAAACTATTGAAATATTATTATACAGTTTAGGGCTTTTTTTATATACATCAACAACACCACATTTATACAAAAGTCAACATTTCCAGTGTTGAACTTTCTTCATAACTTGTGTTATGAACTTGTGTTCATAACTTGTGTAAGTCTTTCTGATGAGAGGTCGCCGACCTCTGAACCAAATCCTGATGTTGCTCATCTTTCTGCTTGTAGTTCGTCAGTTAGGCTACGTTCACACAGCAGGTCTGATGCTTAATTCAGATTTCATTTGCTGAAATAAGATTTTGTGCTTGTGTGTGTGTGGTTGTTTATTACTAATTAAACCTGACCTCAATGAGACTTCAGTGTTTATGGTTTACGACCCCAAATGAGCAGAAAATCAAGACGTCAGCAGCTTTACAGAGGTAATAAAACATGGAGCCATTCATAGATTGATTTTAAACTTTCTTCAGCAGCGGAGCTGATAGCATTGTCACAAGATCATAACCTGACGAAGGAAGCTAATAAAAAGAAAGAACTAATAGCAATGGCTTTTTGTGGACCATTGACTACAACTTCTGGTCTGTTTGGATGTGTTGTCAGAACCAGGACCAGGATTGTGATGCACTTCAGTGACACAGACTTCTTTCATAAGTTCACAATCATAATTTTCAGCCATTATTTATTATAATGAGTCTGGCTTCTTCTGGTATAGAATTATGACGCATGTCTCGCATCAGTGACGTAAAAGTTGGATAAAATGCGACAATGCCGTTCAGACAGTTTGAAAACTATCAGATCTGAATCAGAACCATATATGGAAACGGCCCAGAACGGATTTTTTCTTGGTGAATTGGGCCATTAGCTGTGTTAGCGTAGCATTTGTTGGTTTCTGTTTCTCCACCTGCCTTTTAGTCCAACCGTTCAGTCTAATCCTGGAGTCAGTTTGTTTAGTCTGTTTGTTAAAGCCTCGGTGATTTGTGCTCCATCTACTGCAAAGTACACAGATTAGCATCAAAATTGCTCCCGGTTCATTAAAGAAGTTGCTCTTGCAGCACTTTTTATTCATGGTACCATTCTTCATAAGAAAGGACACACATGGAGTTTATTAGGATTCCCTGATCCTGACTCATGGTGCTTTGATAAATGTTTTCACGATGTCCTAAACTTGGAGAAAGAGAAAATAACTTTCCACCAGTTTTCTGAAGTTCATCATTGATCTTCCTGCATAATGCAGCTGTCATGATTCATTAATGTTTGTTTTCTTTTGTTTGTTTTCTGCTTGTATTATTGTCTCTCCATATTTGTTCATTCCTTTGTGTTGAGTGTTTTAGTTATTTCTTATGTCCTGTTCTCTTTGATTTTATGTTAATGTTAGGCTTTTTCCATTTTGCTTTGTGGTTACTTTTGTGTTTTGGTTCGCCTGTCCCTTTATTCTTTTCTGGTTTATTAACACCTTCCTGTGCAGTGTTTCCATTAAGGAAGAAATTAACTTAAAATCACACATGAATAACCTTATTCACACAATAATTTATAAAAAATGATGGCAGCAACAGATGTAAGCAGTTACATGAGATATTTTTACATTTCAATCATGGCGCTCACCATGTATCAGCCTTCAAAAGAGACATTTTATGGATTTATCTTGATATACTTGGGAGCGGCTACGAATGCAACTTTTTGGGGAAATTGCAGTGCGCGATTTTACAGATACAAAAAAAATCTTCTTACCACTTCCTGTCGTCTTCTTCAGTGTTTCCTCTAGCAACATCCGGATGTTTGTTATGTGACTATTCATTATTATGATGTGAAAAAAGTCCATTGCAGTTTTGCGAAATACGTCTATTTCGATACGGCTGAAAAACCACATCTGCCCTAACGCAACAACTTTTTATCTAAACATATGTTTGTTC